TAATTGTATTCAACTTATACGCAGTTAAAATATGAACAATTTATCCCGGGAAAACACTGCTTCAATTAATTAAAATAGACATTTGACTGATGAAATGATGTCCGTTTGCGAGCGATTGGCAATCAATTGTAAATTTCGACACATTTCATGAGTTGGGTCACTAACTGTACATGTACTGTAGGTGGGCTAATTCATGAAATGTCCACCGAAATTCCGAATTTCGTTATCGTTCCTAAGAGATAAAGTAAGTGGGCCGGAAAATTATTCAGCCGGCAACATAATTCTATAATATTTCAGTTACCTCGGGATGCCGACTTTCGAATAAACTTCCTTCTTGTTGCATGCAGAAACTACACTCTGTAAAAATGACTACTTACTTAGCATGCATTTTTCTCATTGATTTTCGATGCCCCTAAAATTCCAATTATATTTCATGGGAAGCATGCGTGAAAATATTTATTCCTTTGCATATTCGGTGGATATTTACGTCTTCTTTTAAGTTCATACTCAAATGAGGGACATAATTTAGTTGTAAAAACATTCTTATAGTGGACTTTTCAATTCCGTGAAATGGCCGTTCACAAATCGTCATGTCTCTGCATTTACCAATGGAACCTGTAAAGTTAACAATATGGATCAAATCCACTGCTAAATTTTATGAATCCTGTTTGCGCCCCTTTATTACCGTAGAGAAATGTGTGGTTTTCCGTACGCGGAAAATATTCGGCTAAATATTATTGGACTTTGAGTGGCATCGAAAATCAATGAGAAAAATGTATCCTACGTAGGTAATCATTGTTTACAGAGTGTAGTTTTTGCATACAACAAGAAGGAAATTAATTCGACAGCCGACACCCTGCGGTAACTGGGGCATAATAGAATTATGTTTCAGGCTGACTAGGATAACAACCCTGCTTAATTAATTTTTTCGAAACGGGAACGCATTTTGTAATTTTGGTTGACATTTCATGAGTTAGCCCACCTACTGGATGCACCCCCACTCGCAAGGATTTAACGCGTTGCAGAGGGTTAATGCGGAACTGCCAAAGAAATTGTACCTGAGAGATGTTTATATGCGGTGCGTGCGTTGAACAGCCGAACCCCTCGCAATTATGTCACGCAGCGGCAGAATATCAGCGAAACACGTGTCTGGGCTTTAAGCAAGTATCTATGTCTGGAGTACGGTATAATACCTTTACCATATGAATTTCACACTACTTGTAGCACTAACTGTTTGTAGAATGGGCATTACGTGGTTATTCCACAGTAGTTTATTGTATTCAACTCGAATAATCATTGAAATTTCGGTTCTGACCCTAAAATGTCATGTCCCGGAGATTTAACTCCAAGTCCTTCACTGAGTAATTTATGAAATTATTCACTTGATATATACATGTATATATTCCTACTCTCAAGTATTTCACACGTTGCAGAGGGTTAATGCGGAACTGCCGAAGAACTTGGACCTGAGAGATGTCTATGTGCGGTGCATGCGTTGATGGTGAAATGCATGATGATTTGCCGTAGATTTTCATGCAGACGCACGTGGCCAGATAGGCCCATGAGATGAGCGAATGTGCAAAAACAGTGTGAAGATGTACATCGGATGAGACAGGCGTACGTCTGGACTCCAGACGTTGGTGCGTCTGCCTCGGTGTTGGGGAGTAGTGTCGGCAGTGTTCTCATCGGTGAGCGGATTGGGCGAGGTATTAGTTGTTGTCATCGTCGGGGTGTAGGGGTCTCCAGCGATGGGTACGCCTGACGGTCGTAGTAGGTCGCTCACTTGCTTGCAGGTGAAGACTACGCCTACCGCCCATCTGCTGGCACCCCACTCTCACATGTGGCTACCCGAAGTTAGGCTCTGCCTAGCGACCACACCCCCGGTAACTGCCTCGACCATCGAGCTATCCAAGGGGAGGGTATCCCTGTGTGCATCTTAAACACGGTAATCTCGGCTTCGCTGGCCAGACTGGTCACCGCATTGGCATCGCCGAGACGAGGCTACGTCTTGAACAGTGCAGGAGGCCACAAGATAGGTGAGCCCTCAGGTAAGCGAACTTTGCTCTCTTTCCTTACTTTCTTGCCTGTCAATGTCACTTGCTGTATGCTGTTCTTGTTGTCTGCCGCTCTGTGTCCGTTTGTCTGTGCCTATCTCTGCTAATAGCAAGGTGATAGTGTACTGGACTTCATATGTCGCCTTGCTAAATCCCGTCCCTGCCTGATGGCTTTGTCTGCTTGTGCACCAGTTCCGTCACGTTGAAGTCATCCTGCACAACCACCATGGTCAGTCCAACCCACACCCGTCGCCCAGTGTGCCGACCACCACAAGAAACACCACCAACATCACCACAGCTGACAATGACACTGTCGAATTCTCATGTCCAAACTGTCCCCCCAAAAGTTCACCTCACGCATCCGCCCGGTCGGTCACTTGCGAATTCATCGCACAAAGACTGGGGAAACAGTGCCTGGAGCACTAACCTAGACTCGCCGCATCCGCCTACACTGCCCACACTGTAGATGCACATTCACTCACCGCATGGGTCTGCCGGGCCGCATGCGCGTCCACAAATATCCACGGTAGACAACCATCGGCTGCATCACGCCATCACATCCTTCTTCATCAGCATCTCATCGTACATCAGAATTCACCCACCACAAGCATTCAATTGCCACCTCGCACGTAAGTCTACCTCTTGACTCCGTCTCCATGCGGAACTCCAGCTGCATGTGCGACTGGAAACTAAAACTATCACGGCGCGTCAAGCATTGTGGCTTGACAGGCCACTGACTGACGCCCCAACTCAGCCCACGCAGTCCGTCCAGCTTTGTGTGTGTTGCGTGGAGTGGCGCACTGGTGGGCTGAGGATTAGGTTGAAACGGCTCCTTCTCAACGTGACCAAGGGCACTCTCACACTTGTGAGATGAACGCCGCTCTGCCGTCGTTGTGTGAAGTGCTGGTGTCTTTGTTTGCGTAGCCAGGTCGTCCATGCGGCGCGCTCAGACAAGGTCTAGTGACAACGTCAGCCACCGCGCCCATTCCCCGCACCTGTCAACTGACGGACTCGGACAGTGGCCGGGGTGTGGGTATGGGAGGGGAGAGTGAGTTCGACCACTCAGAGCATTTTACTCACTATAAATAATCCGACACACTTACAGTTATCAGGGTGCGCTAAAAGCCGTGGCATGGATGGGTGCCAACTGATGGGATAACATGGATTTCGCAGTCGGCCAAGTATTGTGTGTTTGTGTGGAGTGGTCGACGAGCGGTCTAAGAGTCAGGCTGCGATGGCTCCTTCTTGATGTGGCCGTTATTGCACTCACACGCAGTGGGATCCGACACGGGTTTGGAGGCATGCCACAGTGCTCTCCGGCCGTGCCAGCCTCCAATCTTTGCTGTTGTTAGTTCAATACCTGACCATTTTTTGAGAGGACCAGGGGTTGCGGAGTGTAGCGCCAAGGTGGGGACGCTGCCGGGCCTTCTACATGCGCCCTCCCTTGCCTCCGGTCTTCTTGACTCAGTCTTGACACGGGGTCCAGATGGAGGATGATGATAGGGATTTGGATGCAGCGCAAGTCACCGCCCCTGCTCTGGACATCCTCGTCAATTAGGTCGAACTGTCATTTGTCGTCGTCGCGGAGGTTGTGACAGGAATGATGGAGTTGGCGGTGATAGAGCCTGCCAACCAACCAGTGATGCCCAGTTTTGCTCAGTTAGTGACCCCGCGTGAAGACCTACGTCTAAAGTGTACCAGCCCATGATTATAAAGCATTAGTCACGGTTCCTCGGAGACTCTGTGCAGTCCGATATTTGTGGGTTTTGCCAGACTGGTCCCGTTTTGCTCCAGCGCACCTACAGGACAGTCAGCTTTTGTGGCAATCTCGACAATGACAAATCGTAAAGAACAGTAATCTCAACGTAAACGGTACAAAAACTCTCTTTTTAGTTGGTGGAAGCCGAAGCCAGTCATGACAGGTGCTCTGGCAGGTATCAGGTTGCGGATTAGGGATATTCTTATGCGTTTGGGGCTAGCCTTAGTGTATGGACTTCGTGTTGGTGGCTAAACTACCAACTTTGTCGATTTTGAATGTATGTTTCGCCGCGGCAATCGCGGGAGTCAGTTTTGACGATACATGCCTCGTACTTTCTCTCCCTATGCGACTGATCATCACGGTTTGAGACCAATTTGCCTGGAATATCTAGCCAGTGACCTCGATTCCCACGCGGTTACAGCGCATGCTTACCAATATCACCGGTTTTGATCTTGAGTTTTCATGCGTCGTTAGTGTATCCAAACGCCTAGCGGCGTAAATGTACTTCCCACCTCAGGTTCCCGAAAGAAGCAATCTGTGAGCCTCGAAGTCATCATTATTAAAACCTTCAGTACTGCTTTTCCCGCATTACAGGCGTCCCTACCGCCAGTTTTCTGAGTGGAGCCACAAATCCGTTCGTTGCTGACATGCGTAAATGGGAGATTTTCTTCACCGATTGTTTCCAAGATCTATCCTTGCTGGAATCTTAGCTGACATCCCACTTGAGTGAGACGGTTTGGACTACTGTGACGACAAAACCATCCCCGGCTATTCGTGATAGAAGATTGGGTTGACACACGCAAAATTTTTGGTGCCGCTGTTGCAAGTGAATCCTCAGGACCTATTTGGAGGCGGCTAAATGATTGGCATGTGGCCTAGCTCGATACAAGACTTTGAGGCGTGGAGGTGGCCCCTAGGGCCTCGACAATCCATCTCGCCTCCGGGGAACGAAACAAATCACCAAGGGATGTTGTTGCCGATCCACCCTATCAGATTATTGATTTGAACTAGATCAGGCATGACCGCAGCTGTACGTAACTCCTACTGACTCTGATGTCCAATGCCCAAGTTTGCTATTGGCACAGAAATGGAATTTTATACATGAGACACTGTAATAGAAGACGGACAAGTAAGCGTATCTAAAATTTTTTTCTCTAAAACAGAATGCTTTAAAACTTTAAAAAATTCTAGCGCAGTGTAAACGCTTGTTCGATGCGGCTTAAAGCGCCTATTTTCCTGTGTTTTGACCAAGTCCAGAAGTCAAACTTCTTGCGCGATGACATGGACCGACTTGATGGCGGGACGAACTCTGCGACTGATGCTTCTTGGTTTTCGTAACCTCCAATGATAAGAAAGAAAGTGGAAACTGATTAATTCAAAATGAAGTTTTATTAAAAGGTGAATGCGGAGGCATGTCACCGGTCAAAACAACCAAAGACGTTGGGAATGAGAGAGAGAAAGGGGAGTAGGGATGCATGCGGAGAGGTTGTGCTGACATAACTATAGTTGGCTCTGATAGTGCGCTGGTGGAAAGGCCGTTTTGTCAAATATGAGAATTGTCGGCAGAACTAAAAATAATCGACCAAATCGGCCCGAAGGAATCCATTAAGGGAATTGGGCTCGATCGGCCCGAAACGAAACCTCTTCTATTGCAGAGGATTCATGGGATTTTAGAAGTGCCTGCATGTCCTGGAGAACAGATGCGAACCAACCTTCCAGCTAGCTGCTCTAACCTCACTAGCACTGCAGACCAACACAAAGCACTGCACATAATTAAAGCAATACGCAGAAAGTAGACAAGGAATAGAATGTTCCAAGTGATTCACCCATCCTTCCCATGGGGTTGGCATCGACTCTTGACTGTCTCATTAGGTACGAAGTGTTGCAGTTTACCTGGAAGTTAATCTCCAAGGAGCAGTCGAACTAAACGCCCAGGTACACATTCAGTCACAGCCATCAGTGTATCACCTATAACAACAGAGGTGGATGAACCGAGAAGATACTATGAACGGAGTAATATAACGCCGCGAGTTCATATAGACCTTCAAAGGTTTGAAATGACTTTTCAAGCCGCTTTAAGTGCCAGTGCATACATTGTCTCCTATCTGGCTTTAAGACAATAAATCGACCGGAGAACACTGAAACCGCCATCTTCTCCAGCTTGAGAACAGTAATCACGAGATTTGCCCATTTATGGAAAACATACGCTAGACGACACATCGGCGACTGTCATCTATCGAAAAAGTTCCTCTTGTGCTGTAGAATCGAGAACCGTGTGCAGCTATCTCCCAGGTCGATTCAACTGCAGATAATTTAGGAATAAAGACAACCGTATCATGTTGGACAAAGTACCGTCGACTGGTATCACACCGTTTGTCCCGTTTCGACCAGCCAGACGACGAAGTAAGGTTACAGAGTCAGATCGACGACTGGGTACTTCAGCCTTCAGAATATTTCGTCTTGTTAATGAGGCGGCATACTACAAAAACTAGACAATTCCCCGTCATTCAGTCAGTCGCAAAAAAGACAGTCCAAAACAAATACACAAAAGCATAATTGTCATTGAACAAGGGGAAAGTGAAACGATAATTCCCCGAGTTAATTTCACTGTCTCGAGGCAGTCATAGTCCAGCTCAAAACCACGCATGCCTGGCGATGAATTATGGCCCGACTATACACAAGACCAGACGGTCGAAGTCCGCAACATTCAGAAACACATTTGATGGCGCTATCCGAGTTAGCCCAAGAAAAACACGCAACGTATAAATTCAGCGTTATTTCCTGAAAGCATCGGCTTCACCTAGAAGCCAAGAAACCTTCCAAGCAAAGGTCTATATATAATAGTAGAGAGGCGCTCACTGATCGTTTCTACGCAACTCACTCGTCCCATTGTCCCTTAGGGCTCTCTTTCGAGCCTAACCAGTAGCCACACAACAGCGCATGATATATGCAGAATCTTATTACTGACAAAAACAAGGGAGACTAGAATGGTCATTTCTGCCTCATTAGCCCTTGTCAGCCGGTTATACACAACCAGGAAGTATAGGGACACCCGAGGCTCGAAATCGCGACCTGTTAGTCAGAAGTGCACTGAATCTAACCACTGGGCCACGGGCCCGTTCTCCTATCGGTTGCGATCGGGAATATACAAAGGAAGAGGGGCGCTCACCCATCGTTACTACGAAACTCATTCGTCCCGTTGTGCCTTAGGGCTCTCTCTCGAGTCCAACCAGCAGCCGTAGAGCGGCACATGATATAGACAAAATGGTATTACCGACAAGGACTAGGGAGACTGGTGAAAGGCGATGGACTTCTAACTAACAGGTTGCGAGTTCGAGCCTTGGGTGTTCCACACTTCGGGCTTGGGTATGGCTGGCTGACGACGGCTAATAAGCCAGAAATGGCCATTCCAGTCTCCCTTGTCTTTGTCGGTAATACTATTCTGCCTATATATCATGCGCCGCTGTGCGGCTGCTGGTTGGGCTCGAGAGAGCCCTCAAGGCACAACGGAACGAGTGAGTTCCGTATGAACGATCGGTGAGCGCCCCCTAACATTGTATATTCCCGATCTAAAACCAACAAGGCAACGGGCTCGTGGCCCGGTGAGTAGAGGCGTTGACTTCTAAACCAACAGGTCGCGAGTTCGAGGCTCGGGTGTTCCACACTTCGGGCTTGGGTATGGCTGGCTGACGACGGCTAATAAGCCAGAAATGGCCATTCCAGTCTCCCTTGTCTTTGTCGATAATACCATTCTGCCTATATATCATGCGTTGCTGTGCGGCTGCTGGTTGGGCTCGAGAGAGAGCCCAATATATACTCGACGATTCCGGGGATTACGTTCACACTCGAAAAGGAAGTCGACAGTAAACTGCCTTTCCTGGATGTTCTCGTACAAAGAAAGACTGACGGAACACAACGTACATCAGTTTACCGTAAAGACACTTACGCGGAATTTATTCTGCCTTACGAGAGCAATCAACCAATTTCTCACAAACGGGGTGCTGTCAAAAGTCTGCTTAATCGAGCAAAAACACATTGCTCTGATGAAGAAGGCTATCAAGACGAACTCAAATTCTTGTGTGAATTGTTTTCGCGGAATGGGTACCCTAGAGATTTTGTGCCCCGATGCATTAGGCAGAAAGAGTCGAAGAGAAAGGAGCCAAGTAGTCCAAATCAGACGTCCGAGCCAAAAACTTGGCGGACACTTCCTTACATTAAAAATCTGTCTGAACTCGTTGAAAGACACTTAAGGAAGCACCAAATTCAGGTAGCGCACCGACCGCCGACTAATTTGCGCACTCAGCTCGTACATCCTAAAGATAGGGTTAACTATCTGGACAAAAACGAAGTCGTTTACAAGATCCCTTGTGATGCGTGTGTGCGAGACCATCTGTCTCAGGTGGCCATGCACACCCTGGACACCGGGCACACTTTTGCTTGGGAGATAACTCGCATTGTCGCTGTGTGCCCCTCAAAGAAAGGCCGAAAGTTCCTTGAGGCCATGCACTCAGACGAATCATGCATCAACCGGCACATCGAGTTGGATGCCGCGTACAGAAATCTCAAGGAGAGATGGAAGAGGCGAGGACCAATCAGAACGGACTGACACAAACGACGGCCGCTTACTGGCGTGAACGTTAAGCGATTAGCAATTTTTTAAGTGCACTTAAGATGTAAGCTGTGTTGGCGCATTTGCTCTCCGTCTGTGCCTGACGACGACTCGGGGAACCGGCGTCGAAAATTTGCACAATAAACTTCCTTTCCCAAAGCATACATTCGACTACGAAATATATATATATATATATATATATATGATCTCGCCGACACGCCATTCCTACCTCCCTGCCCTACTCCCCCCTTCCCCCCCCAACACGGTGAACCACAACTGGGACACACAACATCGATGCACACCTCCCCCTCACAAGGTCGTCTGCTTAACTCTCTGTCTGCGTCCTCAACCAGCAGTGTGACAATGCCACCTCTCACTTTTCACTTTGTCTGACGACGGGTTGGTGCAACCAGCTGGAAAATTCACGAGTAAAACTCTATTTCCGACGGACTTCCTCCTTTCATATATATATACATTATGACAGTGGGCGTTCGCCGATCAGGTTACGGAACAGGCTCGTTCCGTTGTGCCTTGGGGCTCATACTAGAACCCTCGCAGGCAGTCGCACAGCGACTAGTAGTAGACATAGATGAGAAGGAGCCGACAAAGACAAGGGAGACCGGAATGGCCATTTCTGGTTTATTAGCCGTCATCAGCCAGTCATACCCAACCCCAAGTGTTGATCACTTGAGATTCGAACCGGGGATATTTGGTCATGGAGTTTGACGCTCTACCATTGAGCCACGGTCCCGTTGTCCTGTCGGTTGTGATCTGGAATATGAATTATGGCAGATGGGCGCTCACCGATCAGGTTACAGAACATGCTCGTTCTGTTGTGTCTTGGGTTTAAGTATGAGCCCCAAGGCACAACAGAACGAGCATGTTCTGTAACCTGATCGGTGAGCGCTCATCTGTCATAATATATATATATATAAATTGCTAATAGAAGCTAAGATTCGAGTCCCCGGACATAAATGAGAAGAAGAGGCGATCTCGGGAACCATGATTGTAATGCCCTGACGTTTCAAAAGCAGACAAGCTTTCACCGACGATGAAAGCTTGTCTGCTTTTGAAACGTCAGGACAATACAATCATGGTTCCCGAGATCGCCTCTTCTTCTCATATATATATATATATGCAGAATGGTATTATCGACAAAGACAAGGGAGACTGGAATGGCCATTTCTGGCCATTTCTCCATTGTATTTGTCGGTAATACCATTCTGCCTCTATATCATGCGCCGCTGTGCGGCCGCTGGTTTGGCTCAAGAGAGCCCTTAAAGCACAACGGAATGAGTGAGTTCCGTATGAACGATCGGTGAGCGCCCCCTACCATTATATATATATATATATATATATATGAAAAAATAGAAGAGGTTCTTCGGAACAGTTGAGTTGTACTCGTGAATTTTCGAGCTGTTGACACCAACCCGTCGTCAGACATAATAAAAAATGAGGGCGAAAGTTATGTTGTCACAGTAGACTAGTTCGTGTGATAGGACAGAACAGACCACTGACCTGTGAGGGGGGGGTGGGGTGGGCTCCCGAGGTCATGGTAGGTCACTGAGTGAGGGGCGGGGAAGAAAGAGGAGGCGGAACAATTACGGCGCACCGTGCTGGAGGGGGAGGGTGGGTGGTGAATCAGTTGGCATGCGGGCGGCTGCATTCGCGGTCGTTGATGCGTGATTAGGGCAGGGGGCAGTCATTCGTGAACTTAGACCTACGTAATGGGTGTCTAAATCAATGTGACGGTTGATACTACCCGCATTGGAGTACCAAGCCTCGAGAAATCCCCTCGCTCGCTTTGTGTTAGCCATGGCGACGACCTCAGTGTCATCCCAATTGAATCGGTGGTCGTACTCGAGTGCATGGGCAAAGACGAGGGACAGGGGGTCTCGCCGACGGATAGCTAGTTTGTGTTCGTTGATACGGGTGCCCAGGCATCGACCTGTATGGCCAACATAAACGCAAGAGCAATTAGCACACGGGATGCGATAAATTACATTCGTTTGTTGCTCTTTCGGGATGGGATCCTTCACTCGAGATAGTGCTGCGCGTAGTGAAGATGACGGTTTGTGGGCAACGTGAATACCCAAGCGGCTGAACTGCCGGGCGATAATTACAGAAGTTCTACGCATATATGGCAAGGAGAAGAATTTTCGCGTCACAATCTCTCCGTTGGGTGTGGCGTCTTGCGACTGTGTCTGCTGCCTGAGACAGTTCTTTGCAAAACTGATCGGATATCCGTTAGAGCAGAATAACCGATACAGGTGAGCAAGCTCTTTATTCAGGAGATCGTTGCCGTTACAATAACGGTAGGCCTGGTGGAACGGAGTTCGGACGCAGCTTCTTTTGTGAGCTGCAAGGTGGTTGCTTTCATAGTTGAGGATAATCACAGAGTTAGAGTCTTTCCTATGGACGCTTGTTGCCAGGCTACCATCGCTCAACTTCTGTATCCTCACGTCCAGAAACGGCAAGCTGTCTCCAATTGCCTCTTCGCGGGTAAACTGTATGGCTGGGAAAACTTCATTCAGGCTCTGGTGAAGCCGTTCGACTTCGCACTTCGTTATTATGATGAAGGTGTCATCAACATAACGAAGCCATAGTTTAGGCTTGGTAGTTTGGAAAACTATCTCTTCTAGTCGCTGCAAAACTAGTTCGGCGAGCAGTCCTGATATTGGTGAGCCCATCGGGGTTCCCTTTACCTGTTGGCAATACATATTATCAAATTGAAAATAGTTCCTAAGGCAAAGATTTAGCAGTTCTAAATCATGCTGCGTTGGGATCTCAATAGGATTGTTCTGTAGGCGTTGGCTTACGCATTCGATCGCCAAATCATGTTGTATGGAAGAAAACAAGGCAACGACGTCAAAGGACAGGAAGCATTCATCGGTACTTACTTTGAGGCCTTGTACCCTGCGGAGGAACGCTTGAGAGTCTTTAATGCTATAATCCGATCCATGAGTGAGCCGCTTCAGACGACTGTATAACCACTTAGCTATATTGTAAGTGGGTGATCCGATAAGTGGCACTATAATCCTCAGGGGACATCCACTTTGTGCACTTTTGGGAGGCCGTACGCGTGTGCGATGTGGGGATCACTAAGGGTCATCAACTTGGAGTCATCTGGTCTGATAACTTTCAAACGAGCGAGCTCATTAACCTTCTTTTTGATGGCTGCAGCTTGCTTTTTAGTCGGATCTTCAGCAAGAAGGGTATAGGCCTCCATGCCACTGAAGATTTCATTCGCCTTGTTAACGTATTCAACTTTGTCCATGATGACAGTAGCGCCACCCTTGTCAGCGGGAACAACGACAGTACTGTGATCCGACTTCAATGATCGTAATGCTTGCGCTTCTTCCGCCGGTAGATTTTGTTGGTATCTTTTTGGCCGGAGAGTACCGGTGGCGCAGCATCGTATGTTCGCGCGCATGTCTTCCGGAATGTTGGAGGCCAGTAGAATGGACTCAAGCTCAGCTAGGAAGTCGGTAGGTGTGGCATCCGCATGATTAAATCCTATTCCCTTGGATAGGAGGTTGATTTCCGCAGGTGAGAGACTCCTCTTCGATAGGTTGACAACTCTCGTGGTCAAATTTCCTTGGTTCGTAGGACGGAGAAGTGAATGGAGATTCTACTGGAGATCAAGTCTCTTCTTCAATCTTGCATCCTTGGTGGTGGCGTTAATTCTTTGCTGCACATCCTCGAATACGTGCTCAGGTAGCGCTGAAGCGCACTGATTTTTAGGTCAGTAATTTTTGCTTCGAATTTGTGGAGACGATTGTGAACGTCATAAATTATAGCACTCAAAACACGCCATCCGTATTTGCGCGCAAGAAATCTCCCGGTCTCATTCGACAACGTCGGTTTGAAACGAAGAGACTTCGGTAACACACCCTGATCGCGACCGCGGTGGAGGAAAGTCAGTTGTTCGCTAGTCATCGCATGTCTCTGTGTAAATTTCTCCCAACGTCTGGTAAAAATAAGCGTTCGACGCCAGAATATACGTTGTAGTTCAGAGGGGGTATGCATCAAGCGCATCAACGACCGCAAATGCAGCCGCCCGCATGCGAACTGATTCGCCACTCACCCCCCCCCTCCAGCACGGTGCGCCGTAATTGTTCCGCCTCCTCTCCCTTCCCCGCCCCTCACTCAGTGACCTACCACGACCTCGGGAGCCCACCCCACTCCCCCCCTCACAGGTCAGTGGTCTGTTCTGTCCTATCACACGAACTAGTCTACTGTGACAACATAACTTTCGCCCTCGTTTTTCATTACGTCTGACGACGGGTTGGTGTCACCAGCTCAAAAATTCACGAGTACAACTCGACTGTTCCGAAGAACCTCTTCTATTTTTTCATTATATCTACTCGGAATGCATACCCCCTCTGAGGTACACACATATATATATAGGCAGAATGGTATTACCGACAAAGACAAGGGAGACTGGTAATACCATTCTGCCTATATATCATGCGCCGCTGTACGGCTGCTGGTTGGGCTCGAGAGAGAGTCCATAAGGCACAACGGAACGAGTGAGTTCTGTATGAACGATCGGTCAGCGCCCCCTACCACTACATATATATATATATCCCGTTCATCATCCCCAAAAGAAGACGAAGAAGAAAAAGAGGCGATGCCATGGACCACACTGTATTGGTGCTGACGTTTCGGAATCTTTCTCGATTCCATCATCAGAGTAGTGGTAGGGTGTTTGTTCCTGCTAGCTCAGAGTTGTTCTGTCTCGCCGCCTGTCTCGTGTTATAGGCATGCCTGATACACGAACTCTGACCTGTTTGCTGGCGGGCGATTGGCTTAGGTCTCTCCGTGGCCGTCCGTTGGGGCGCTGGTGTGACCTCTGCCCCCTGCCCGGCCGCTGTTGTCGCTGCTAGGTCCGTGTGCCCTTGGGCCCTCCCCCCATAATTTGACGGGCCGATCGGCTGCCGTTGCATGTGGGAATCGTGGTCGGCTGTTTGGGCGCGTCGGTGGGTCGATGTCTCGCGTCGGTCGTCTGACAGCCGGCTGGCTCTCTCCCCCTACTGGGAAGGTGACAACTGTTGAGAGAGCCGCGATTTGTTCGCCAGTGTTGTCGGCCCCGTCCGAACTGACTGGAGCCTCGTACGAAGCGCCTGGTAGGTCGGATGAAGATCAATGGCTCTGTTGATTGTGTCAACTGAGGACCAACTTTCGAGAACCAGTCTGGCCATCTTGTCGCTGGCTCGGCCGATGACGCTAGCTTCCCCAAAGGCGAAACTGTGCTTCTCCTGTTGTATGTGGCCATATACCAGTGACAGCTTATCCTCGCGGTTGACTGCAAGCTGGTGCTCGTGCAATCTTGTGCAGAGGCGTTTGCCCGTTTCACCAGCATACCTTGCACCACAATCTTGGCAAGGTATGCTGTAGACCACTGCTGATTGCTCCGTTGCAGGTAGCTGGTCTTTGGGCCTCATTATCTGCTGCCTGATAGTGGATTCCGGTTTATGGGCCACCCCAATCCCAAAAGGGCTCAGGATTCTTGCTGTCGCCTCAGAAACATTCCTCATGTAGGAGATTGCGAGCCAGAACTTCGGCTTCTCATCATTAGATTGTTCGCGGTTAAATCTTCTTCGGCACTCACGTATGAAGGATCGTGGGTAACCATTGGCTGTGGATAGGGAATGCAGGTACTTCACTTCCTCTCTCCTCCCGTCGTTGTCATTACAGTGTGTTTGAATATATATACGAAGAGAGAAGGCTCGTCGGAAAAATTGAGTTGTACTCGTAAATTTTCGAGCTGTTGACGCCAACCCGTCGTCAGACGAAATAAACAGTGGAGGAAGTGAACTGGTCAGAATAAATTTGCTGGCGTGACAGGGCAGCCATTGACAGCCAAGCAACTAATGTGTGAATGGGGGTGGACAGATAATTAGGCTGAGATCCGTGGCGGCGGAGGGAAGGGGGAACTGTTGCGGCTCCCTGTGTTGGAGGGTAGGGGGGATGACGAATCAATGGAACTATGGGCCGTGGACTTAATGGTCGTCTATCCGGCATGCGGGCGGAGGTCAGTGAGTCCAACGTAGAGGTGTTACAGGTTGCAGTTGCGGTTCGCTGTGTCTGGGGCTGTAATGGGGTGACGAAATAGTGCGATTCTACATGGCCCAGTGTGGATTAGCGGCTGTTGTTAGGTCGTGGGCGCAAGTCAGTGAGCCGGGCACGCAGACCTTCGTAATGAGCATCTAGATCGACATGGCGATTGATGCTTGTCGTGTTAGAGTGCCAGGCTTCGAAGAATTCACGAGCTTGTTTGGTGTTCGCCATGGCAACAACTTAAGTTCCTTCCCATTTGAAGCGATGGTCGCATTCAAGGGCGTGTGCAAACACGAGTGACAAAGGGTCACGTCGGCGGATGGCTAGTTTATGCTCGTTTATACGCGTCCCAAGTCGTCGGCCTGTATGACCAGCATAGTCGCAAGAGCGGTCGGCGCAAGGGATGCGGTAGATGACATTGGTTAGCTGCTCTTTAGGTATAGGGTATTTCACTCGCGATAGTGTTGCGCGCACAGAGGACTCCGGCTTGTGGGCAATGAAGATGCCAAATAACGCCTGGAGGAAACTCCGATTGGCATTCCAACAGAGCACGTTTTAGACATGCTTGGGCTTTGTCTTAAGAACTATTGTCAATTCGATGGCCAGTATTATCAGCAGGTCAAGAGCACCCCCATGGGTTCACCGATATCGGGCCTACTCGCCGAACTAGTATTACAAAGACTAGAAGAAGTTGTTATTCAAGCCATCAGACCAAAAATGTGGCTCCGCTACGTAGATGATACCTTCGTAGTCATAAAAAACTGCGAAGTTGAACGACTGCACCAGAGTCTTAACGGTGTTTTCTCCGCCATACAATTCACACGCGAAGAAGCAACAGGGGACATCCTCCCTTTTCTTGACGTCAGTGTACAAAGACTGACTGATGGCAATCTCGCAACCAGCGTCCACAGAAAAGACTCCAGCGCCGAAATCATCCTCAACTACCGGAGTAATCATCCTACGGCCCACAAAAAAAGCTGCGTTCAAACTCTTTTTCACCGAGCCCTTCGGTACTGTAGCGGCCAGTATCTACTTAAGAGAGGGCTAGCCTACTTATACCAATTATTCCGATCTAACGGATATCCGATTAGCTTCGTGAAAAACTGTCTCAGACGTCAGAGGCAACCACAAGATCAGAGTCCATGTGGAGAAGCGACACAGAGGAAATATTATTCCCTGCCCTACATGCGAGGAATTTCTGAAGTGATGGCCCGACAACTAAACCGGTTTGGCATCTGCATTGCCCACAAGCCGGCGTCCTCATTACGCGCAGCACTATCCCGGGCAAAGGATCCCATACCCAAGGAACAACAAAGTAACGTCATTTACCGCATCCCGTGCGCTAACTGCCGTTGCGTTTATATTGGTCACACGGGTCGACAACTTGGGACTCGCATTAATGAACACAAGTCAACTATCCGCCGACGCGACCCCTTATCTCTCGTGTTTGCCCACGTTCTTGATTGTGACCACCGTTTCAATTGGGACGGTGCCGAAGTGGTCGCCATGGCTAACACTAAACATGCACGGGAATTTCTCGAAGCTTGGCACTCCGGTGCAGATAGCATTAACCGCCATGTTGACCTTGATGTCCACTACGAGGGTCTCCGATCACGGTGGACTGACTGGCGCCCACCTAAAGAACAACAACAGCTAATGCGTGCCCGGACATGCATGATCTCGCCGACACGCCATTCCTACCACCCTGCCCTACTCCACCTCCCTCCCCCAACACGCTGAGCCACAGCTTGGGCCCACAACATCTATCCTCACCTCCCGCACCCATCACAACGCCATGCACACCTCCCCCTCACAAGGTCGTCTGCTTACCTCTCTGTCTGCGTCCTCAACCAGCAGTGTGACAATGCCACCTCTCACTTTTCACTTTGTCTGACGACGGGTTGGTGCAACCAGCTCGAAAATTTACGAGTAAAACTCTATTTCCGACGGACTTCCTTCTTTCATCATATCATCTCGGAATGCATACTACTTCAGTTATTCAATAAATTTATATGTATGAATTTGAAAAGAGGCATCCCAAAAATCATAATTCGAAAGAAATAAGCTCTTTGGGAAAGATTAACAAGGTTTATTGTAAATTTTCAATCTTGGTTCCCCAAGTCGTCTTCAGACGTGGAATAAGTGTGCAAAACAGTCAACATTTAAACATGCCGAAAAATCGATTTTGCCTTGTCATTCCTGCTGGTGTCTTGTTCTGATTGGCTAATGCCTTTTCCGCTTTTCCTTGAGGCTGTTGTACACCGTATCCAATTCTACGTGTCTATTGATGTTTGCGTTATCAGAATGGATGGCCTCTAAAATTTCACGGCCCTTTTAAGATGAACACACACCTACAATGCGGGTCCTGTCCCAGGCGAATTTGTGTCCGGTTTCCAACTTGGGGAACCAAGATCGAAAATTTACAATAAACCTTGCTAATCTATCCCAAAGACCTTATTTCTTTCGAAATATATATATATAACTTGAATGTCCCTTTACAGTGTAGAGCAAGTGAGGCGTTTGAGGCGGACTTAAGCCGAGGGTTTCGCGATGAAATTGACCGCCGTTGCACAAAAATGCACTGACGAAAGTACACTGTGCCAGACTGTCAATGAAGGAGAGAATGTGGTAGACGTAGCGAACGGCTGTCCCACATAAAAATGAATCCTTAGATGACTGGCGCTATGATCATTTTGCTGGGGTTGAATTAGACGCCGCTGTCTGTAATAGTCGACCAGCCACTTATCAAAACGAGCTGACACTTTGAAAACATATGCCCTGGATAGACTACAGCGTGTGGCCCTAAATCTCAAATTGAAGATGCCAACAAATTCCTCATATTTGTGTCTTTATGCAGTTGTCACTGCACTGCCTACCTCGGTGCCCTCCCGATCTTTTAGTTGTGATAAGAATACAGGGAGAATGCTTAGAAAGACGAGAGAAAGTATCAGATCGCACTAGACCATTCTGACAGTCATAGACCTCACGATCAATAGCACTTCAGTCGATCTGAAGCAGATTCAAGGACAGTAAATTCAAGTCATTGGGGCAGCAGGACTGTGGACTTACGGAAAGAAAATAGTCTGTCCTGGTAGACGGCGAAAGCGCCTATATAATCCATCATTCTACAATAAAGGAGGCTTGTCCACTGTCCCAACGGCCGCCGGTTGTCGGGCGGGGCGAAAACGTCAACGGATTGTGCAGCAACAAATATGCTGCCCTTGAATGCGACTGCTGCGCGGATTTTACATGCGGATATCATGGGAGCAGCTGCCTTCCAAAAGCTGTCCGATGACCTTCGTGGTCCGCGCCAGTCTGCAAGCTCTCGTAAATGACACATCTCCACAGAGGACAGCCATTTGACACTAGATAGCCCACCGATCACAAACACGCGACCGTCCGGCAGCGCAACAGCGGTAGAGCATTGCTTTTTTTCTTTTAAACTAGGTAGTTTATACCATCTGAAATGAAGGCAACGGTGAAAAGTGTGACTCAGTTAGGTCACTGCAACGGTGACCTACTTATGAAAACAATCTAGTCAGCAGGGCCAGTTTGACGAATTTTACGTCGACAAAAAGCGCGTTTAAAAACGTAACTTGGGAGTGTCAGATGACATGAAAACTCTACCACCTATTGAAACGAGGACCAGGCTGCAATGACCACTCACTAATGTGGCATTCGTTGCTCCTACTACTACTGAGATTTAAGATCGGACGCGTCATGTGGTTGGCGACGGCAGATCCACTGAGTGCAGTCTGGACTCAAATCGGTTCTGAACGGACGGGCTGCTAGCACATGGGTGAGGCGAAAGTGAAGTCGATTCGATGTTCATTTTCTTCACCATAACTTAACATACAAGCGTTTAAACCATCAAGACGGCCAAAAATCGTGTCTAGACACTTGACCAAGTTATTCGGGCCAATTAAGAACTGAGGGACAGGCTGCAATAGCTCTAATATGAACTTTATCGCAGTCTAACTAGTATGAGATCTGAGATCCTCATCGAATCGTGGCTATATTCAGCAACTCTTTGAATTTCGGAGAGTGGAAGGGGGTGTTGCCGATAAGGGTAGGATAAAAGCACTAAAAATTGCTCCACTTCTGGAGGTTTCGGCGGGTTAAGTGCCTCAAACCTTACCGGTAGGTCGCCGTCCTAAACCGCGAATGTCAATCCTGTCACTCTTCTCAGGAAACTGTTCAGTGCAGTAACAGGCGCTCCGTTGCTGTTGGCTACATCAAACATCTTCGTGTTTTGGGCAGTATGTGCACACTTCTTCAGTCGAAATGTTTTGCCAATCTGTATTTCATGCATTCTTAGACCAAATGTACACTTTCAGCAAAAACAGCCAAAGTATCCTCACTAAATTCTCAATGAGCTAACAAATAACGCCTGTGAAACCTGAGAAAGACTATGGAAGAGGTAGACTGTTAAACTACGCCAGGGACCTTTCTGACTGTCAAAAATCTAAGGGAGTTCCGGCCAGAAAGTGAGATCACATAAGCGGGCGTAGACAATTACCTTTGATTAAAGTTAAGCCTGAGCAAAGAGGGGCCAAGTTTAGACAGGAGATTAATTGGCTTTCACTTCAAGTAAGAAAAACAGGATAAACGCGGTGTCCTTATGCTGTGCGTAATGCACTCAGGCCTCGAGTCTGGGAGAAGAGCCAGGTTGACTTACGACCGTTCCATATGGCAGAAAAATTCATTCAAGCCTGCCTCATTTTTGGCGGTGAGCAATATTGCTATGTACTTTGCTATGTGGTTACGACACCCAGCAGACTCACTTGTCTTCCTGTGCAGAGTAGACTTCACAAGTGTCAAGACACTCGTACTTCCTGTTGCTTCCTCCGAAGACACAAATCACTTTTTCCTGACCGACAGGGACGGCAACTACCGAATGGTACATCCGACCCGTGGAGAGCGGCGCACATTCCATCCACCGAAGGTCCTTAGTATCAAATTTGTCAACATTTGGAAAGCTGCCGCCATGCCAATTCCCTCCAATCGCGAAGATGCAGCCTGTTTCCAATGCAATAAGGAGCGAAGTGAGGAGATACGAAAACGAGTGTCAAGGATATCAACGAAAGGCGTCGACTATGTGAGAAAATACACATTTAAAGGCGATAAATTACCCCACAATGAGTGTTCTCATGAAGTCGGAGGATCTGGCACAGACATGCTGTTTTACAACGACTTCCGGTCTTGTACCACAGGCTTATACAATGGCAAAAGGGTTCTGGCCAGAAGTTGAAAGACTATGCGCAACATGTGTCTTCCATCGCGCGGCTTAAAATCGCCGGTGAGGCGGGGCGTAAGCTTGCTGAACGCCAGCAGCGATAAAAAATGAATGTTCTGGCTAATGGAGAAAGGTAAAAGAGAAGACGAAAAACAATTTTCTCCACTTATTTCTATGCGACGGGACGCTGTCAGTTAAGAAGCATGCGAGCAATCTCCCACGGCTCGCGTTCGATGTGAAAGCATGGAAGCAGGCAGTCGTTTTGCATACCAAACACTATCATGCCTTATGAATTTGCTGAGAGACGAATGTCTGACCAAAGCCGCAGACAGATGGCTGCCAAGGTTGGCACACGTGCGCTGGGTTCAGTAGGCAAGTAAACAACGGATGGATAACAGTTGCTAGGGCAAAATCAAGTACGTTTAAAACAGCATGTGATATTGGTCGGGAGAATATCAGTGTTGTCGACAGCCATCATGACTGCCTGGTGTCCCCGTTCAAGGCCTCGCTGCCTCAAGGTCATTCAGCCCCCTGCAGCGAACCGTTTCACAAGCGCTGACCTGAAGCCACTCGACCGAATTCAGCTCCGACACACCTGCCTCCAAACAGTCGTACCCGACCACCTGGATGCGCCTTCTCGCCAGCAATCACGGCATACGCCTCTTAACGACTAGCCCTCTACAAGTCCGCGTTCAACATCGATTCCAGGTGACAGTCAAAAATAAACAAAGACAGGTATAACAGCTGATTGTTCTCTCAAAATTCCAATGCACGGGACTCACCCTCGATGGCCACGAAGGCCGCGCTATATGAACTTGTTACTTCTGCTAGTGGCTTCGAAGTGTTTGCGTCGACATCGTACTCGATCATGCACATCCGGTCAGTGTCTGCAGTGCCGATGAGGCAGATGCCACCCACGGACCTTCTGCGTTTATCATTAAACGGACACTCTCTATCTACTCTCGAGGACGGATGTTCGATCCAGGCGATTATGCGACCTAGGAGTTTTCTTAAATAATTCAAGAGGTTAAAAGCGTTTTCGCAACTTACAAACACTCCATAGTTTTATTCCAAAAGCCTTCTTCATTTAGCAGTCTGCATCTAAAGTCAGCATCCACTTGCTTCCATCGCACTTCCCGCAGCATCGCCTCCGCGTGCACCAGTCGGGTTTCTTCAACTTCGTCAGATGAACTTACCCAACGTCCGATTGAATTGAAGGCGATCTCCTCACTCTCCACGATGAGGTCATCAGCACGCAGTATGGACAAGACAGTGTCAGCTGGCAGCTGGATGAAGAAGTCACTTGCAACCGTGGCTTCAAAGTTTGTCTTTATGTGCTGAAGACAGGCCTTCATTAGCTGTTCGCTCTTAATCAACCCTGCGAGGTCCCAGTAATTTTTTATGTTTTCGGAGTTAAACCTGGGAGTTCATGAGATTTCGATAACACCTACCTGGCGGCCATAAAACTCACCGCCCACTCTTCCACCTGAGGCATTACGAGTTGCTGCGACAGCAAAATCAGACCAGTAGCATTGGCCTCATTGACTTCCAGCTGGCCTGTGTAGACATAATCGATTAGCGGTCTAGCGACTCTAAGCGGCAGTTGTAATAAAGCACAAGTGATTACTCAGAGGAAACCTTTGGCCACTGAAGGACAACCTTCTTTTGCGTATGCATTGTACATAAGGAGTCACGTAGGGAGGGTACTCTGCAGACCAAAACCAACCTGTGTACAGGCAGCGAGATGTCGTCCTATGGCTTGAAATGAGAAAAGAACAGTAAAGTTTATTTATGAACATACCTCTATTGTCATATCCGTCAGTTCGCCTGTCATACGAAGGTTGTTTAACTCGGGAACACATCTTGCAAGTGCCACTTCGTCCTCAAATGACTGAGTATCCTGGTTGGCCATTGAATGTGCAAACCCGGATGGCTAAAAATTCGGTCAGTTCAGTCAACTTTGACAGGAAAAATCATAATAAGTAAGAAACGTACAACCGTTATGATTTCGGAGGTTTTGTGGGTTTGTAATGAACGGCAGACAGCCTTACATCAAGGATCAACCCCACACAGGACACGAAGCTTACGAAGGGAGGATTTGAGGACCTACAGTTTAGAACGGCGGACAGTTTTTCCTGGTGTCAAATATATGTGTTTCGTAAATCCTAAATGAATACGCGTTTCGGTACTCAGACAGCGGTCATAAAAGATGCCATATTATTAAACGTACATCTGACGTTTTTGTCGGTGGTAGAACGCTTATTTGGAGTCCTATGCATAGCTTCAGGAGAGCTCACTAATGACCACACCACAGACTGTGCAATTTACTGTATCTCCGGCCAAATACGGCATGCTTTCTTAGAATAATACGCATGCAACGATTCAGCCACTGACGGACATTCCGTACTATATGCGACGGAAGGTGTCAATGCCAACCTTTATTTTAAAACCCTCACACAGATTACCAAGACGATAACAATGTGGTCATCAAGCCTTAAGAAAATAACCCTCAACACGGTACATAGTTCATAGTTCGTCCGCTCATTATAAAATCAGTTTGAGGCGACCTCGGACATACAAGCAAGGCACCCTAGATACGAATCGGCCGGTAGCATATGTCATCCTGTTTTCTAAGAATACGCGGATCAAGCGCGGCATTTAGCCAGTCGACGCGACGATAGACATTGGGGCGCGTCAGGTGACGACAGCTGATATCTTACAGCCTCGCCGTTCCCCTTAAGGACAGTATGTCGGCTGCTTTATCGAAGGCCTTTCAGGAAGTCCCGCCGAGCACATCCTCGTGGCAGGAAATTGAATCAAAGTCACGGTCTGCATTGCGACTGTGTGTCCCCTGACTTTCCTCATTTTCCATTTGCATTCGCTCAGGTCTTCGCGTTGTACAAGTTAATATCTAAGAAAATCCTATAATTTAAATAAAAATATAAAATCAAAGAAATCAAAATATCAGGACCGCCCAGGCAGACCACATGTCACAACACTCTACTGCTAAATCGATTCGCAGACGAATTAACATCTAAAGCGCTAGTTAAAAAGGAAGCCTGTCGGGCATACACCGTCGTCAACTCATATACAGCCATTCGGTTTAGACAATGTCCACCATGTGTTCCACGACAGGGTGGGCTAGGCGGCGGTAACTCCCGTGTGATATGTTTTCGAATGTTAGTAGATTCCTGCTGCATCTACCGCACTTGCCTCCCCCCTCCCACCTTGTCCCTGGTGTCATACACACTTGAGGAGGGATCGAGCAAAGATCAATGGCGCTGCGTGATCTTGCATCTAGGTGTATCAGCATATTTCTAAGTATAGGGCATTGTTGATTAGTGTGTTGGAGGAGGAGGCGGAGGGGGAAGACAGAAAAAACTTAAATTATCCTCTGTATGCAAGAGTATTGGCAGCGCTACTCTGTTCTGCTAGGTACTTTAACTAAATACTCCTCCTGTTGATTTATACCTTAACATTCCATAGAAACCATCGACGCGGACAGCGACTATGTCAACAGACGTCTACTCAACACTTTCGTTAAATTTTTTTAAGGCGAATGAAGTTAAATCTGAAGTCTACGCCGGCATGTTCCCTCGACGCCAAAAAATTTCATTACGTATATCTAGTTCCTTATAACATAACAGTGAACCAGAATTGTTATCTGCAAATGCTGAATCCACAGAATGAGTCAGTGATTTTAACCGACATGAATTGTGGCGGTCGAGACTAGCTGTTCCGTCACGACAACGCGTCCGCCCATAAGGCTCTCAAAATCAACCAGTTCCAGGCAAAAGGAGTAACGATGTTGTCCTACAATATGAAAGGTAACTTACTTATTAACGGTTTTGGTACCCTAACGAACCCCAAATAACGTCTATCGGGCTCTGGTCTGCCACTTTTATAGCCCCTGTTAGGGGCATCAAATTCGTAAAACATTCTTGGACCAATACTGGCTTCTTCAAAGTTCTCGCTGCTTGGATATTCCCATTACCATCGAGCAACTACGCAACTGGACGCGAAAAGTGGCAGAAGGGCAGTGGTGCCCGCGTTTGTGCTCGCCCTCTCTGTTGCATGGTCCAGTAGACCATGAATATTGAAGGCAATATGTGTCGTTTTGTAAACTTATGCAAACGAGTGAATTTTCTCAAGTAGGTAGATGTTCAGGTGACAGTAAATCATGGAAATCCATCGAGTTCGGACAGTTTGTACAGCATGTCGGTGTTAATTTTCTGTCTGGAATCAGGGTTCCAGCGGACGCTCTTTTATGTCAGACTTTACTTTCTACTGTTTACTGTAATAAACCGTAGAAATCGTAGTCTATCGATTTAACTTTGAAGGGCGAAATCAATATTACTTGATACAGATATCTGGAAAAATGGATAACTTCTTGATTTCCTTTCGAAGTAGCTAGTGTACCACCTGGGACAGCATTGCATTTCCAACAAAACAGCTCTCTTTCGTTTGCCATGCTTAGACAGCCAAAATACTTGCTTCTTAAGTAAATATCTGGATTAATTAAATTTAATCCAGACTATATATCATCAGTGCAATTATTATATTATAAGCATTACATAATTTAATTACCACTACAAATCATTGCTACTTAAGTAGCAATGATTTAAATCATTGCTACTACACTACAATTGTAGTGGTAATATATGTAATCAGCACGGTTCATTGTTCCATAAAATACTCTTATACCCCAGCTTAAACTCAGCCATAAAAACAATGATCATAATCGGGCGGCTTAAAAAATATGAGTGTGCGGATAGCGTAGGATCTCTAAGGGAATTACGTGCAGACGCACCTCGCAAGAATCAAGCCGTCTTTCGAAATGCTGGGAGCGTAGGCGACTGACGGCCTTAAAATTTCAGTTAAAGTAAACAAAGGAGAACGTAAATAAGCTTCAAGGGAAAAAAGTGTCCCAAAGTGTATAAAGCTAAGATCGAAGAAGAGGGTGAAATGTATAACATTTTCAAAGTTTACTAAAGTCATTTGGTTCAAACAGGCAGTCAGCGATGGCGTGAGCTTTTTGCACAGAGGAATTGCGCCGATGTAGAGGAAAGCACGACTACGGCAAATACTCGACAAAATATTCCACGTTTGGCTGACTGCATTACAGATTACAAATTAATTTGTTAAGGATGTGTTGTAACATAAAGTAAGCTGCGAAAAATTGTTCACTATTTCGTTACAATACTGGACAGTAGAGCACTTTGGAAAATGGGTGTGTCAAAGAGCATGAATACGCTCTGATGGATCGCAGAGGGGCACACAATGATCAGGGGTTCTTAAAGGGACTTGTTTTTATCCATTTACTTTACACACCCGGGCTACGGTACGATTCTTTGTATAATTTTTTTCTTTTTATCTCATAGATTTTCAGACCCCTTCAAGATCTTACTGACTTCCGAGTAGTTGGCTTACGCCGCCTTTTGTACGATCATTGGCGGTAAAACGAAAAATACTGATACTTTGCCGGTACCACATGCAGGGTCATTTATCATCATTGGGGTGTCGAGAATTCAGAGATATTTTGTAAATAAAAAAAGTCGTAAAAATTATTCATAATTGTTTCTTTGGCACACCACAGTGTGAACAGAACTGTTCCTGGTAGCTTAATGGTCTTTAACAGTCAAATGATAAACGTCCCGTCTATGGGAACCCAGACATGATTAAAAATGGGTGCTCGTCAAAAAATATTATCATTTTAAATTTATATGAATTGTAGTAATGCGGATCATGGCACACACCGCATGATTCCTCGGCGTAACTAAAGGGAATGACGCAAATTGTAAATTAAAACTGGACGACAGTATCAGCTCTTGCCGTTTTTTGACGTCTGTTTGCTCATAACTGATTATATACTTTACGGTCCGTATAGCTAGATGCAGTGATCCGATTGATGAAATATACGTGCGAAATCTGTTTGAGGCGTAAGCAGAAGTACATTTTCATGTGCCATAAATCCTCATACACTCATTATAACCGAGTTAGGTCTGCGAAATATTGTTAGCATTCCAACATTAAAATTACTGGGAGAGTCTAGCGCAAAGGAAAAGAACGCAAACTGAGATGGGTATGACAGAAGTATGAAATAAATCAAGGCAACACTGGGAACACGTGATAGTTAAATATTTGAATTCCGTCGGACCTTCTTTCGACCCGCAAGAGGTTCTTGAGATGGAGATTGTGCATATCTACATATTTGTAAATTGGCATATGTAAGGAAAATATGGAGGACCTAACAGATATGCGGATGAAGAGCATTAACCAATTTAAGTAACAATTGTACCCGTCATTAATACCAAGAGAATATGCGATCATGAAGAAAAAACCGGCGAAGGCTTCTACTGGAGGTCTGAAAGTTGTCCGTAAGGAAAATTTAATTTAGCACAACGTCCCATCTTTCAATTATCCGGTGTTAGAGGAAATTGGCTCGAACTCCATGTCTGACATAGTTTGCCTTTAGCTGCATTGGTGGCCTCGCACACTGATTGTTCGTACCAGTTCAAAATATTAACAGACTGAGGTGCAAATTGTGACTCTACAATGAATTTGAGAGCCATGTTCATATCTGGTCTGCACTGTCTCTTAGGGAAAGGAATATTTTTAGTTTGTCCGCCTCTCCGATGACGGAATTAAACTAGTCCACGCAACCGCCGTGCTCGGCG